GAAGATCCACTATCAGCAATATTAATTCAGGACTAAACTTCACAAGTTCCCATCCCTCACTTAATCATTTATCCAGTGCAACCTATACCTAGGAACTCCTAGATAGAAACCTACCAGTTTCCATTCCTATTGTCGCAACAACAGAAGTCTTACTCCTACTCAAGAAGTAGTGCCCTCCCACTTGGTTTCCTACATTACAATGAATATGAAGTAATGCAAAAATACTTAGACTTGCTTCACAGCTTCGTCCAAGAACACTCAAACTCTTACCTACAGGTTTCGAGTTACACACATGGTAACCTTGCCATAGACCGACAGGTTTACCTCACAGAACACCCCTAATATTACATTATTTGTGGGGCTTGCAAAACAGCAGCTCTGTTGAATATATAGCAGCTGCAACTTCAGTTAGGGTCACAAAAACCTAGGGTTAATTCCGTTTGACCTAAAGACCAGGTCACAGGACTTTATTAACCAGGTTAGGGTTGAGCTAGGTTACCCCTCAGAAAACACAGGATTCTGTTCAGGAAAGACTGAGTTATTTTCCTGAAAAAACTCAGACTTATCCAACCTGCAAACCTGTTAGTTCAGAACAGGATGTCATAACATCTATTATGACATCTGAGAAAACCTGTCTGCTGACTTAGCAAAATGTGATCATTTTGCAAAATGCTCAGATACACACTTATAAACATCAGTACTTGAATTACAATATTTTTCTGCAAAGGTACCTAATGAGTCAGTACAAACTAAACTAGAATGTTATGACATCAGTCATGACATTCACACATACACTTGGGATTTACCAAAAATGCAAGCCAATACCTAAACACCTACACATTATTCAGTATCTTGAGATATTTGACCATTCTATCAAGATATGAATTCAGAGAAGTCACTTTACTTTCCAGATTAGAAATATTTTTTAGATGCTCTTCCCTTTCTGCCTTCAGCTGAGTTATAAGGGCTTTCTGTTTCTCCCCTTCAAGACACACTTTTGCATTTCTGAGACATAATTCTTTGTATGAAGAAGCTAACTCATCAAAGGTTAGTTCCCCATTACTAGACTCTTCATCAGATACATATTTTCCTATCAATGCTTTAACATACTTGGCAGATTCTTCAATATCACTCTCTGAGTCCTTTTCAGACCAAGTAACCGACAAACTCTTCTTTTATTTCTTAAGATATGTAGGACATTCAACTCTAATGTGACCAAAGCCTTCACATTCATGACATTCTACTCCATTCCCTTAAGTGGATTTTTCTTCAGCCCTTTTTTTCCAAACTAATTTGACTTATAAATGTCAGATGAGATGTTCTTGACATTTGATCTTTGGTTCCTATCCATTCTTTTTATCACTTTGTTAAACTGTCTTCCAAGCATAACTAGGGCATTTGATATTCCTCCATTTGTATCCAGATCATAGTCTTCCTCTTCATCTTCACTATTTGATACAAAGGCTATGCTTTTGTTCTTCTTTTCAGACCTTTCATTGATGCTTAATTCAAATGTCAGAAGGGATCCAATAAGTTCATCCACTTTCATTTTGTCAATGTCTTGAGCTTCTTCTATAGCAGTCATTTTCACATCAAATCTCTTGGGAAGAGACCTGAGCATCTTTCTCACCAATGTGTCTTCAGTTATTTTCTTTCCTAAAGCATTGGATGCATTAGCAATTTCAAGAATGCTCATATGGAAGTCATTAATACTTTCATCATCCTTCATTCCCAAATTTTCAAATTTTGTGGTGAGCAACCGAAGTCTTGACATCTTAACTTTGGATCTGCCTTCATGAGTAGATTGAAGAATTCCCCATGCATCCTTAACTACTTCACATGTGTTCACTAATATGAAAATGTTCTTGTCAATTCCATTGAATATAACATTTAAGGCTTTAGAATTTCCTAGAGCAATTTCATCTTCTTCTTTAGACAAATCTTCTTCTGGTTTTAACTCAGTGGTGGGTTCTCCATTTTCTCCCAATTTGACAGGGTGTTTCTATCCTTTTAAAACAACTTTCCAAGCTCTGATGTCCAAAGACTTTAAGAAGGCAACCATATGTGGTTTCCAATAGTCATAATTACTTCCATCCATAATGGGTGGCCTGTTCACAAATCCTCCTTCCTTGTCCATAGTACCATAAAACATCTTCCCTGGATCTCACACAGATAAAGAGCAGGATGCCTGCTCTGATACCAATTGAAATTCTGGTATCAGATATGTGATGCCGAATCAGATGTCACGACATAAATATCCGAGGAACAAAGTAAAGTGCAACAATAATAAATGCAGTAAAAACACAAGGGATTGTTAACCCAATTCAGTGTACAACAACACCTATTCTGGGGGCTACCAAGCCAGGGACAAGTCCACTAAATAATATCAATTCATAGACCCTCAGTAAACAACCAATTTACGATCTAATCACTTAATCACTACTCATGCTATACTTCTATCTAAGACTCACCTAGGTATGAGGCCCTCCTCAAATCACTTCAATCACTTACAGTGAAGAAACAACAGAAATAATAAGTTTAAAAGACTTCAATCATTCAATGCTTAAAAGCTTATGAATGATACACAATTAACAAATGAAATAACAACTCAAGTATTAAACCAATACTTAGAGTGTATTACAAATAAAAAGCCTTAGAATTCTAAAACAGAAAGAAAATATTCTTCTTCAAAAAGTTGCATATTTTTGAATAAGGAAGCAGGTCCTTATATATGCGCAACAGTGGGTTTGGGCTAAAAAAAAATTCAAATATTTTGAATATTTCCATGAAAACAGGCCAAGATATAATCTATAAATATAATTCAAATATAAAAATATTCCTCCATATTTTTCGCAGCCTATGAGACACAAATCCTGAATTATGGCGCGCAAGAAAACAGGAAACATAAAACATGAACTTATATTGGGTTGAGTTCAGTTCAGGAGGAAGATGTCAAGACATCTACTTTGACATCATTCAAAACAATTTTGCTTAAAATGTTAATACATTTAGCAAAATATTATCAAGTCATTGTTTTATCAAAATTGCTGCCAACAAAACACTTACAAAATTGTAGGTCTTACTGCAGTTTGATAAAACTTCCCCTTCAGTTTGAGTGGTACCTTTGCATCACATAAAAATCATTTCACCTTTCTCCATTTCAACCACCCAACTTGAATTTGATGGTTTACATCCCCCTCAATTTCTCCATTATTTTGTATTACGGACCCAAGATATTTAAACTGTGTGACTTGTGGGATAATATGGTCTCCAACTTTCACCTCTAGGTTATAAATGTTTCTTCTTTTGTTTAACTTACATTTCATATACCCCGTCTTACTTATACTTAGGCAAAAACCATGTGTTTCTAAAGCTCGTCTATAAGTTTCCAACCTCTCATTTAACTTCTCTTTCGACTCTTCAAGAAGGATTTTATCATTTGTAAAAAGCATACATCTCAGTGCTAGCTCTTGGATGTGTTATGTTAACACATCCGAAATTAAGGTGATAAGGTAGGGGCTTAGAGTTGAACCTTTATGAAAACCAATTGTAATGGGAAAATCATTTGTCTCCCCACCATGTATCCAAACAATGGTCGACATTCCTTCATACACATCTTGGATAGCTCGAATATATGCAATTGTAACCCCTTTCTTCTCTATGGATTTTCACAAAATCTCTCTAGGCACTCTATCATATGTCTTCTCCAAGTCAATAAAAGTTAAGTTCATGTCTTGTTGGTCTATCCGATACTGCTCCATCACACATCATAATAGATAAATATCTTTTAATGTCCACCTTACCGACCTAAAACCAAATTGATTCTCTGTGACTTTCTCTTTTCTTAATCTCTGTCCAATCACTCTTTCTTATAACTTCATGGTATGTCTCATAAGCTTAACCCCCTATAATTTGCACAATTTTGTATGTCTTGTTCTTATAGATTAGAACTAATCCTTCTTATTCATTCATCTGGCATGCGTTTTGACCTTATAATTTCACTGAAGAGTTGGATGAGCCACTTAATATATTTATCTCCACGAATTTTCCATAGTACAATAGGTATATCATCTGGCTCAACCACCTTACCGTTACTCATTATTTTCAACGCTTCCTTTACCTCATGTTTCTGAATCTGACGATAGTAATTATAGTTTCAATCCCTTTCTCTAATGCAGAGTCTATTAGAGTCCGGTGAGATATCATATAATTCATTAAATAACTTGTAGAAGCACGTATTCCACCTATCCTGTATGTCTTTTCTTGAACTAAGAATTTGCCTTCTTCATATTTAACACACTTCACTTGATCAAAATCTCTAGTCTTTCTTTCTCTTCCCTTCACAAGCCTATATATAAAATTTCCCCCTCTTTGGTTCCTAGATATTGGTATAATCCGTCAAAAACTTGGGATATTCCTTTACTCACTGCCTTATTTGTTTCATTCTTAGCTTTCTTGTACTTTTCCCAAGTTTCAAATTTTTTACACCTAGACCACTCTTTAAGACGCTCTTTTTTTACTTTAGCTTTACTCTAGACACTTTCATTCCATCACCATGATTCTTTACCCCTTGGTCTAAAGCCTCTTGATACACCCAACGTCTCTTTAACCACTTTTATAATCTCTTGGACCATCTTGTTCCATATATCATTTGTACTTTCTCGTGGTTGTCCAAACCCTCCCTCCAAGATTTTGTGTTGAAAAATTCCTTGTTTTTCACCCTTCAATACCACAACTTGATCTGCGGCGCTACCATATGACTTATTCTCTTTAATCTCTCTTTAACTCTTACACTCATAACAAAAACTCTATGTTGGGTTGTCAAGATCTCTTCTAGAATAACTTTACACACCAAAAAAACATCCATATCTAACTTCCTGATAAGAAAGAAATTTATCTGAGAATATGTCACCCCATATTTATATGTGATAAGATGTTCATCTCTTTTTTAAAACCATGTATTTACTATAGTAAGATTCAAAGCCGACGAAAATCTCAAAATGGATTTACCCTCCGCATTCATCTCTCCTAGGCCAAACCCCTTATGCACACTCTCAAAACCTCTTGCCACACTACCTACATGTCCATTGAGACCCCTCTTAGAAAAAGCTTATCTCATTGGGGGATATCCTAAAGTAGACCTTCTAAATCCTCCCAAAGTTTTACCTCGAGGTGTTATGTTAAAGATTGTTGGCTCAATACAGCTCCTCTGTTGCAGTTGCAAGGTGGGTTTTTATTCATGTGCTGTATTTACATTGAAATCTAATTGTCTCTGGTAATTAAAGATACATTGAAATCTAATTGTCTCTGGTAATTAAAGATATAGGGAGGGGTCCAGGTCTAGTGAGTGGGTATCAGTCCCACATCGTCTACTTCATAAAATAACCCATGCTCCTTACGTATAAAAGGAAAGGACCTCTAATCGCATAATCTTACGGAGCCGTGTGATGATGACATAGCGAACTATTCTTTCGCCTTTTACTAAAGAATACCGTGTCAGCGTCACAATTTGCGGCATACGATAGTTTTTGGAAGAGTCCTCTTAAACGAGGGTTCTGCAATTTTAGTTCAAGTAAATTCTTCATACATTACATAAATTTCTGTAAAATACTCAGAATTTTTGATCCCTGTATGCACAACGCAAATTAGTCCAAAAACCTAATTTAATTCTTCATGATGGATGTGAAGTACTTGTAACAGGATGCTTGTAGTATGTTGAATATTTTGATTTCTGGCATTAACAAGCGCAGCTTGTGGAGGCAAGCATGTTGAATATTTTGATTTCTGGCATTAACAAGCGCAGCTCGTGGAGGCATGGTGATGAATGAGTAGCTCAGTGCTCTTCTGAGCTCTTATATCATATTAGTGAATGAAACTGAACCATAGAGAGGATCAAAATTGAAAGGAATTTGAGAGAGAAATTGACATTGAAGATTGAATTATGTATTCAACTTTTCAGAATGCATATTACAACTGAAGAAAGTGTTTATATACAAGCTTGTTCTTAACTAACTCGTCCCAATTGTAACTACCTAACTGGAATTAAATTTTTGATCATGAGATGTTCATCAGTGGCTCAGTTTGTATACTATGTATGCTTAAACATCCTGGCGAGGGGTCGTTTATATTTTGTTTGAAAAAGTTAATTTGATCACCTTGTGCAATGAAGAGTAATTTTTTGTTTCATATTTCATTGGTATTTGGTATTTTTGATAAAGTATGTTTTGTCTAACTGTGTATAGTGAATGCATAACCTGTTTTTCTTCTACAGGATTCTTTTGAATGCTATAGCCATGGTAGATTTTGATCAAGAAAATGGTGAGGTCACTAAAGACTTGCTTAAATAAAAGATGGAATAGATCGTTTAACTCAATAAAGCTTCTCTGTTGCAAGGTGAGTTCTTATATATGTTATATGTTTGCGTTGAAATTCAATTGTCTTTGTGCTGATTGTTTTCATCGGAACAAAATATCTTTTGGGTCAAGATGAAATTACTTCGTCTATGTTATTTTCATGTCAATGTTTGCTTAAATGTTAGATTACCTTTGGTCTTTTGGACTCGTCCTTTATGATTCCGTTTACATCATCTTTGTCTTCTAAAGATTTTTCCACTGAAAGGCTTCAGATGTAGTAAAAGTAGAGGTCAAGCTGGGAGTTGAAGATTCAAGAAATTTTGTGACTGGATTAGAAGTAAGTAAAATTCAAGAAATTTGGTACTTGTTTGATGACAGGGCTATTTTTCTACTATTTGCTTGTCTGAGTTGTTGCCAAAACTTCCTAGTCCCACATTGCTAATGAGACAAGTTAGATGAAGTTGAAGTTATATAAAAAGAAGTTTAGCCCTTCTTTAAAATCATCTTTGCGCTTGGGGCAATGACGCAGCTAGTGAGGTTCTAACCAAGGCGCGTCTATTGCTGGTTGAAAACTATTTCCAAACCCCCTCTTAGGCTTGGGTTCAACTCAAGCCTTAGAGAATTTCTGGAAGGACTCCCTTTGGGGTAAAGTCCTGCAATTTTAGTCTTAACTTTATGTATATATACAAGGAAGTGAGTTTCCTTTACTTATAGCATATGTCTGCACCAATTGCCGAGGTCACATTCTTCTAACCATTCCCATTTTATGCAGTTATTTTTTCAAACACGTCCTTGTATATAGATTTATAATCAACATTGTTTTAATACAAACGGAGGCAATAGAGTCTCACATTGATTTAATACAAAAACATTATAAACCATGCAATTTTGGAAGCTAATATGAGACTTTATACTCGACTGTTTGATGTGGGACTTTATAAGGAGTAAAAGTCACACTTCGTAAACACAATTTCCATGCTTTTAAGGGATGGTTGGATTTACCTTTGTTGGAAACAGAAATTATATTACCTGGTTTGCCTAAACTTGAAGCTTCTGATTTGCTTTCATTTTTGCATCAATATGGAACCTATCAAGGCTACTTTGAAATTCTTACAAACAGGCCAGTTTTCATTCAACTTACTTCTTTTTAGTAGCTTGTTATTTCATTCAATTTGTTAAATATATTTCATTCAACTTAATTTAGAGGTATCATAATCACTTTAATGAATTTGTTCTATTTTTTTTCTCTTTTTCCTGTAATATTGAAAAGTGATTGTGTTCTATCTTTTTCTCAAAATTTTAACGGACACTTTTTAACTCTTGTTTCTTTTCAATTGAACGAAAACTAATATTGTTTAATTAACCAGCTTCATTTGGAACTAATATTGCTATGTGTGTGCCATATCCAAGAGCTTTTTCTATGTCAAGAGCTATGTTGTTGTGTAGTGAAGTTTTGATATTCGATTTATATCCAAGAGCTTTTTCTATGTCAAGAGCTATGTTGTTGTGTAGTGAAGTTTTGATTCAACAAAATGCTACCATATATATCATCAACAAAATGCCTACTTCTGTCTTAAGCATGGATTCACCTTACAAAGTTCTCTATAATATTGATTCTGATTATAAATTTCTTAAAACTTTTGTGTGTTCTTGTTATCCATATCTTAGGCCCTATAATTCTAACAAATTTGCCTATCATTCCAAAGAATGTCTATTTTTAGGATACTCTAGCCAGTATAAAGGGTACAAATGTTTGACTGCTGATGGGAGGTTGTGATCTTCAATGAGATCAAATTTTCTTATCAAGACTTGTTTCCTATCAATTCTGGCTCAATTCCTCCTTCTCCTAGTGTTATTGTGTCAATTCCATTATCCTTTTCCTCTCCCTCTTTAACCTCTCCCTCTTTAACCACTCCACATATGACTCCTTTAACTTCCACTCTGTATTCTTCAGCATAAAGTTCTTTTACCTCTGCTTCTGTATAGGAGTCCACAAACTCTTCTAAACCTATCTCATCCTTTCTGTAGCAGTCCCCACCTTCTCTTTCCTCCTCTCATAATAATACTTCCCTTGCTTTTGAGGCTGCTGGTTCTTCCTAACCTACTTCTATTTCTACTGCCTTTTACTCTCCTATCATTCCTATTCATCCCCTCAACACCCACTTTATGATTACTCAAGCCAAAGATGGAATTATGCAACTAAGACTACATCCTACTCTTCTCCTTACTGAACTTGAACCCACTTTTTACAAAACCGCACTTAAGGATCCTCAATGACTTGAAGCCATGAAAGTTGAGCATACAACCTTGCTCAATAATCAGACCTGAACCCTTACTCCTCTTCCTCCCAACAGAAAAGCTATTGGGTGCAAATGGGTTTTCAGGATCAAGAAAAACCCTGATGACACTGTTCAAAAGTACAAGGCCAGACTGGTGGTCAAGGGTTTTCACTTGTGGTGAAATCAGTCACAGTCAGAATTATTCTAACTGCAATCTCCAGGAAGTAGCAAATTACCCCATTGAATGTTAATAATTCCATTTTGAATGACACTTTAACTGAAGAAGTTTATATGCAACATCCCCATGGCTTCATGAGTTTTAATTCTCTTCTGGCGTGTAAATAGAAAAAGATTTGCTTTCATCAAATTAATGAGTATTAAAAAGAAAAAGATTTGCTTTCATCAAATTAATGGGTACTAAACAATATGATTTATTCTGAGAGAAAAGAGTAAAGGACCCAAAATCCCTAGAACTAGTATACAATGGTTTTGAATTTTTTGTTTTTAAATTTAAAATTAATTGGGAGGCGGCCGCGCGAACGCAGGCCCCCACAGCAATAAATTATGATGTAGGCTCCACCATTTTGGTAGACCTTAGGCTAGCACCCCTCCTAAGTGCAATGGAGGTCACTTGCCTAGGCCATGGACCTTGATGATCATCCATTGACCCCATCCAGGTAAGTATGTTGCAATGTATCGCACACTTCTCTTTTATATATGATGTTCCATACTATTCACTTTAACAATTCTGACGTGGGACTAAGATAACATGATATTGGTTCATTCAAAATAGCATAAAAGAAAAAATATCATTTAACTATAACTGTAACAACATTTTTTCAGAAAGATAACCATCATTTTTAAATCTAAACTAAGACATGTTTATTCCCAAGATTTAGTGCTTGAGTAGTATGTACACATTCTATTGGATCAACAATTTATACACCTACTCACATTTGCCACTCCATTAGGATCCAAATAGATAAAGTATGTATAACCATATTTATATAAGAAAGCTTTTGGTCTCCTCATTTTGATAATATGTATAACTTTGCTCTTATTAAATTAACTGAGATCATTTTGTTTCAAGTTAAAATTTTTAGTCTCGTAAAAGCATTGGTTTGCCATTTTGTGTCTAGGTTATGTTACTACTATAATGTCAAGCGCATTGGTTTGCCATTTTGTGTCTAGGTTATGTTACTACAATAATGTCAAGCATCACCGTGTTTCTGGTGATTTATAAATCTAAATAAATTATAACACAAGATTTAATGAGCTATAAAATCTATCAAAATAAATAATGAATATTTAACTAAAAATGCAAGACTTTACCCTAAAAGGAGTCCTTCTAGAAATTCTTGAAGGCTTGAGTTGTGGGCAAGCCTAAGGGGAGGTTTGGAAATAGTTTTTAACCAGCAACAGACGCACCTCGGTTAGAACCTCACTAGGTGCATCATTGTCCAAAGCGCAAAGATAAAATCTAACATATAATAAATTTCCTTTATATGTAACTTCAAACTTATCTAATTCCTCTCGTTAGCAATGTGGGACTAGATACAGCAAAAAATAAAATTACAGTAGAAAAATAGTCCAGTTACCAAAGATATTTTGTTCCATTAAAAAGAATCAACACCGAGACAATTGAATTTAAATGCAAACATAGCACATGAATAAGAACTCATCTTGCAACAGAGGTATGTATTGAGCTAAACGATTTAAGTAAGTCTTTAGCTATATCACCATTTTCTTGATCAAAATATATCATGGCTATAACATTCAAAAGAATACTGTAAAAGACAGAGAGGCTTGACGCAAGACAACAAGTTATGCATGTCATTATAAATAGTTAGACATAACACACTTCATTAAAAAAATATCAATGAAAGATGAAACAAACAGTACTCTTCATTGAAGTGTATGGGTATCATGAAGAATAAAAATATGTTTTTGGACTAATTTGCATCGTTTCCAAATCGTTTCAATCCTAGTAATGAGGCTTGGCAAAGATGCAACCAGGATAAAAATTAGGTCTCTCTATTTATCATATGAAGCGTGTGATCTATATTGATGTTGCTGCAGCGGCTTGTAAGGATCTCGAATATGGATGTTGTTGCAGCGGCTTGCAAGAAAAGTGTGTTTGCATTGTTGAATAGTCAAGTGTTTTTCTCAAAAGATTAAATGAATCCCGTTGCAGTAGAGTGATGAAATTTTTTCTCATAGTGACAAATATATATAATTAAAATATCTAGAGATAAATTTATAAACTAGAGCTAAACTGGAGAGACTCTCTGATGTAGTATTGATAAATTTGCAGAGCCCTCATTGAAGAGGGCTCTTCCAAAAACTAGCGTATTCTGCAAATTGTGACGCTGACACAATATTCTTTAGTAAAAGGAGAAATAATAGTCCGCTATATCTATCGCACGGCTCCGTAAGAATAAGCAATCATAGATCCTTTCATTTTATATGAAGTAGCGATGTGAGACTGATGCCCACTCACTAGACACATCTCTATCTTTAATTACTAGAGACAATTAGATTTCAATGTAAATACAACACATGAATAAAAACCTACCTTGCTACTGCAACAAAGGAGTTATATTGAGCCAACAATCTTTAAAACCCTTCACCATTTTCATGATCAAAATCTACTATGGCATACAAAAGAAGTTTGT